ACCAAATTCTCGTAACTAACTCACAAGGAAAATATATAGCAACTAGAGGGGAGAATTAACAATCAGAACTTGGGGGGCATGTCACGCTGTCCGGTGGAAATAAATACTATTGCTATTTACCTACAAAACGTCTCCCACATAAACGGATTTTCCACTCGTTCTACACTGACAATGACCTTGTCTTCTTTCATACTCTCTCTGAACAAGCGCTCCACTTCTTGAAATTCACTGGAATTTGGCTCCAAAGGGACACGTGTATAGCTCTGGTAGGACTCTGGAGAAAACCCATGTTTTGGTAATGACCTCGAAAATAATAAGAAAGGACTATTGTTAGCCATTGCGCATTGTCGTGCATTTGTCAGCATTTATGTATACTGCATAAGGGTGTTAGTATACAAAGCAAGCATATTTTCAGGCCAGACAGTGTTCAATATTTCGATCGAGTGTTGAAGTCGACAGATTGAATCGGTGGGAGGGCTATTTGGAGCTGGTTTACCTAAGGGTTCTTTTCCACACATTTGATCATATTTGGAGGCAAAGGATCATTGCTCGTTTACTTAGTTGTTATCATAATGGGCTCGCCTCATCTTTTTGAGGTGCTTTTAGAGGGATGTTTGGAAAAGAAAAAACACTTTCAATGGATTAAACTTAATGAGCTTTAATAACTGAAGCAAATAACATACTTCCTGTACCGTTTTTGTTCTCGCTTGTCGCTAGCTCCTGACCTCTGATATCCTTGAGATGAATGCACTGTCTGTTTTTTTCTTCTTTTGTATATCTGTTTCTTTTTACTTTTTAGCGTGGAACGCATGAGTGCATCACCCAGTGAGGCGTTTAACTCTGGAGTTGATTTTTTGTCGTTCAATACCGACTCCGTTGACTCGACTTGTGTCGTGTGACATACCGGATATGAACTATCCACTTTTTTTGTAGAGTCAGGGCATAGACTTGCTCTCAAAGCCCTGTCCAAGTCGTCACTTGTTGCAAAAGTTTGACAAAGACCTAGAATCTTGGAATCAGTCGAAGGCATGCTTAGATGTGATTCTTGTTGACAGTGATGCGCTTGAGGAGGTCCTGCCCTTTTCTGGCCAGCATTATTCGAGTTTGGAAATATTTCTCTACCATAATCGAGGTTGTTATTTAAGTCATACAAGGTCGATGAACACCCTAAAGATCTTCTTCTGTCTACACTGTTATGGTAAACGAGAGGAGACCTCATTCCAGTTCTACAAACGGACGGTTTCATGCTACAACTCGGATTTTGACAGCTGGCTCTTGCGTCATCTAATGCAAGCGCTGCAAGTTTTCTTGTGTGATCTTGTACATCAGGAACTACACAACCGCTAGTAGACAATATTTCTTTCTGGGACAATAGGAGAGCGTCGGACCCTCTAGCAGGTATAGCTACTTGTTCTATCGGTATAATAATATTACAGCGCACGAACTCAATTAGTCTCTCTGATTTAAACCATATAGACGGGCTAAGACTATATCTTTTCAGAATACTCCCGCTTCGTCTATCGGTGAAGCAGTGTGATAACGCGCATTCACATGAGATATTTGTCAATGCGTTAACGCAAATGTGAAGGAAAGGACATTCGTCGGGATCGTTGCATTTACCATTCTGGTATAAAAGGCAAACCTGAGTAAACAAAATAGAGTATGAAGTTTAGGTATCGTGACGTGGATGAACATATAGTATGCGGAAATAGCACTTTTTTCATTGGTTTATGAATTAAAGCAAATTACAGGGATAGAATGAAGGCCGCAAACCTGAGGCAGTCGGTAAGCAACGATGTTCTTGATCAATTCATTCGCCAAACTTTTAAGTCCAACCTCTTCCGTTTTTGCCTGGTTTTCCCTGTCGTGAAAGTCATGAGATCGGCCACATCCTCCATCGCAATCTCCTTGGATAAAACCTTTACAAATGTGCCACAGCGCACAGAATCCCTCTGGAGGTTGACATGAAGCCGTTGTAAGGTATTCAAGGCACAGCTTCTTTCCGTCCAGGGTAAAACCAAATCTTTTCTCCTCTTTCCAAGCATTTGACTTGATAACAAGTTGATCAGCTTCAGTCACTTCACTTTCTAGCCTTTTTTCAACCTCATATTTGGTTCGTTCGCTGACAAAAGTTTCTCTTAAATCATCTGCAAACCCGCTAATCTGCTCTAACAGTTTCACTTCGTATCGATTCCGAGCCATTTTTTTAGGCGGAAGTTAGGCGGAAGTGTTCGTTTTTAAAGAATGGTTTCCAGTCCCGGTCGCGAAGGGCCCATTCCTCCTTAGTCCCAGTAGTTACCAGTCAAGAAAAGCTGTCCTTTGCTTGCCTTTCAACAGTCAATCACGAGACGTTAATATGTAAGCAAATTTTAGTCCTGATTAAGCTTACTTTTTTTCTAACCTATTAGTGACCGGTCATCATCTATCGTTTGGGGAAGGGGAAAGGGAGTTAGATGATTTTGTTTGTGTCACGATAAAATTTACCTGATTCCCCCATAAGGCTCTTTTGATGACCCTTTATTGGCAGTTAATTGGCAGTCAATTGTTCAGAGTCGTCCCATTGTACTTTGTTGGCGACGACTGATCCCCTCCTTCATGTCCTTTCCCCATAAAAACCACGTGATCCCCCAAATCACCTCACTCTTGCCCCAGGAAATAAATCAATAAAGTAGAACTGGTCCTTTATCGAAATAAATCATGTCTTGACCTGCGGATGAAATATTTTAAAAATACGTTAAAAAAAAAAAAAATGATCTGCAGCGGTCTTTAATTTCAGCTCTTCTGCGTAGATAATTTCTTTACTTGACAAGTTTTCTTTTTATCTTTAGTTAGGTAGAACCAAATTTGCTCGCAACTGACATATATTTTCAATTTAATTTAATGTACAGCTGCTGAAAGACATACATCAAGTTCAATTCTTGCTATCCACCGTTCTCTTGTGAAGGACTTCTAACTCACAGTAAGTTCGTCCAAGTCCACTGAATGTCTGCGCATGCGTGATTGTTGTAATGACTTGGGACACGTTATGACATGATGGCAGTCAAAACCAAGCAGTGAAAACCAAGTTGTCTCACATGAATTAAGAAGAACCACACAAGCCAGCGAGTCAAGGCGTGATAAGGTGTTTTAAATCCGCATAACATTTTTCAAAACAGAATGGTAAATCAACATGCTACCCGTACTTGAATGACCTTTGTGTTCGAAATGTCCCAAGTTTTCCTTTTCCCTATGTTTGTTTACTTTTACAAATTTCTATAAGCGTTTCAATTTTCTTTCGATTTTTTTGGAAGACAGCGGTAGCTTCTTGCATTTTCCTTTGAAATTCTGCGCGGGAAATTGACGCGCGGCCAGCAATAATTGATCCCATTGCGCATGCCCGACGTTTGACTGCTGTGTTCTTGAACTCTGGCCCCAAATGGATCGATTCGCTCGCGTTTCAGTCCTGAAAAGGAGACTAGAGCAATTCGTTAACTTCAAAGATAGACAGTGGGAAAAAGCGAACAAGAACAGCTCCTTTTATTAAACAAAATTGTTAAAAATATCAAAATTGTAATCAATAGTTTCTTTGACATTACAAAAGAACGAAGCCAAGACAGGTGCTACCAATCAAATAGTAATAATTTAAAAGTTTTTAGTGAAACTATCAGGGTTAAACTTGGTGCGTTCCTCAAGAGCCTAGTCACATCACGTCGTGTTTCATTCTGAGGTTCATAGAAGATTGTCAAAGTGAAGAGTGTATCATTTTTGAAAAATAATCAGAAAATAAAACCTTATCCATAATTCTCGAAGTAACGATTTACAGCGCTTTGAAAACACGGAAACTAGATGTCTAGTTTTAACAATGAGATGTTACGAGTATTTTGCTACTAGTCGATGTATCTTGTTTCATTTTCTTTTCAGAGTAAATCGTGGTGCCGATTGGAACTAACCACCCAAAAAGGTTGTCATTGTTAGCCCCAAAATGTTCCTGTTTCTTCTCAGTCATTAAATTCGTTCTTTTTAAAATACTTCAATAATATTTTTTAAATTTCGTACAGGATTTAAAGACAATATCCGATTCACAATCTGTGGAAACAACATCACAATTACCAACCTTACAAACACGTTGAGGGAGCACAAAGCCGATTTGAGCTTCATCTACAACATTAGTTCAATAACCGAGAAATTATGGTTTTCTTAGTAAAAGTTCTTGGTGCTGATCGATCCAATTCGTTGTCCTGTAAATTTTTCTCCAAAAAGAAACAAAAACAAATGGTATCCTCTTTAATCATATTGGGTACCTAAGTGTTCCTTTCAAGTGTAAAAAATACATGAATGCAAGCCCGTCCGCATTTTCAGCATGATCAGTCGAATGCACCCCCAATGTTAACCGACACATCTAAGTTGCTACACTTTCCTTCAAATGTGGAAGTGTTTAAAAATTCTCGAAGCCTTCTCTGGCGTGGTACATTCTGTATCTTGTGCATTCAAAAACTTGACTTAAAGAACTGGTGAACGCTTTATCCGGGTGGGGTATTTCCCGTTCAGTGTAAACTGTCCACTTCCTTGACCATATTAGGTGTCAGCCGACTTGTCTGCAGGGACAGTCTCGTGTCAAAGAATGCCATTTGTGAGGTATTGGAAGCCGTCGTAAAGTTTAGTGGTCAGTGAGTGCATGCTGGTCTCAACTAATTCATTAATAAACGTGTCCAGCTGTTCCTCTGTTAAGTTCATGTGAAATCTTTCTCTCATGGCGCGGACTGTGGACGAGCCTCGGTTAAAACATGGAAGCTGTGAACCTGTCGAGTGAGTACAATAAAACGAAAAGGAAATCAGAATTAGACTATAGACTGTACAAGGCTTCTCTCCTAAGAAGGGCCGACAAATTTAACATATATTCCCCGTCGGCAGCTATGTTTTCCAAACCTATGCGATGAGGAATTATACTTTCTTAACTTATACCAACAGAATCTCAGAAGGAAATTCACGATTATTTCTTGAATTTTTCAAAACCAATCAGTATTATCATTTTCCTAATGAACACAATTACATGTGCTGAGCAAATAGCAGATACTGAGGGTTTGCCCCAACAATGCAAATTAGAGCCCTTATGAAAATTCTTTATAGAATTAATTTGGGTAGAATTCATTTGCCCGACAAATATCTCAACCTGGAATGAAACACTTCTCACACCTTGAAAAAAATCTCCAGAATTCTCTCTAGTTTGTCAAGACTTCATCTCCATCGGTTTTCAATATTTTTTCCAGGTCGTTTAAATTAGTTTCGACCTTCTGATTCTTTATCAAGAATTCAAAAGCTGTATATGAACTCTGGCGCTCGTATTCTTATGAGAAAAGGGACAAACCCAAATGAGTACCTGTTTGCATGATCTCCACTATCTGAAGACATTTGTCCATGTTCTTTCGCGCGGCCAGGAAGCCTTGAAGCATCAGAATTTTGAAGTAGTTGTACATGTCACTGTCAATTCCACCCATTACCTTCAAATGGAACAGAAATCGTGTCTTACACAGTGCAAAATTATTAAAAAAAATACATGCAGTGAGAGATGAGAAGGACAAAACGATGTTACCTCTACAAATTCGTGCGTTAGTTTAAAGGGAGAACTTTCGAAACCTAAGTTTCGAGGAGAACACGAAAGGATGAAGCCAAAGTCGATATGAATAATGTGGCCTTCTCCATCCAGTAAAATGTTGCCATTGTGTCTAAAAAATAAACAAACTTTAAGTCATTCAACTTTTAAGAGACAGTTCTCTCTACAAAGAGCCCGAATTGTAACTATGATCAACACTAAAGATATGGAAGAATCATCTGGTGCCTAATGGTGCTGGTCTCAGAAATCTGGGTAGACTACGAGCAGTTCCTCCTTTCCGGCGAAGTACGTCGCGCGAGTCAAAAAAAAAACAAAACAAAACAAAACAAAAAACAATGAAAAAGAGTGATGTTAGCGCGCCGTGGGAAGCTCTTAGCACCTCACTCGTGGAGCTCCTGTAACGTGTTTTGTTTTACTCGCGCGAAGGACTTCGCCGAAAAGGAGGAACTGCTCGAAGTCTATAATCTGGGATACTCAGCTGTTAAAATCTTTCAAAGAAGCAAAGTTTTATGAGTCACTAAAAAAAAAATAGTCGCCTGTACATGTGGCACCCGCGCTCTGTTAGAAGACAGCCCTAAATTTGCCAAAATATTCGCACTGGTGTTTGATGAAGATTTAATGCATCTAGCATTCCAAATTACATCGGGACACCGCTCCTCAAATCGGATGCTAATCATTCCTGGTTGTGTGTTGACTTAGTTGTGTGTCAATGCTTTGAATCGGGGGAAGGGGGGGCAGGGCAGGGGGGGTATGTCATAATGTAGATGTAGTCTGATCCTCGCGGTGAGTAAAGCCCTGAGATGGACCGCTGTCGGTAGTAGTGATTGACGGTTTTCACAACCTGAGCAAAAGTTATTATCAAGAGTCAAAAACATATTTTTATCACCTGTCCTTGACTTGCATGAAGTAACAGATCAAACAGTAAGCAGCACAGCTTTGGACAAAATTTCGTTGAGCGTTAAGGAACTCTTCCGAGTTCACTTCTCCGTGCTCCTATAAACGGGAAATGAATGTACTATTAAAACATCTGTACAAACACAACGAACCAAATCTAAAGGGAATAATAAATCAGCAGTTACACTCGCGAGTTGTCTTCAATGAATTTTCCTTAAAAAAAAAAAAAAACTGAATTGCTAAACAAGAGAGCTCTTTCCTTTGTCTACCAACTAACGTGTCATTTTTTAAGCGGCGTGAGAGAATACTTGTCCGGGAAGAAATTTACCAGAGTAGATGACTTCGACTCTTGTAAAAAATGATATAGCAAATACTTTCTTTTCAACAAAAGCACTTGCCTTGAAAGAAAACTTATGATGTACAGTAAGGAAAAACTTTCAACATAAACCTTTATTGATGCGTTTGCTAGCCTAAATTTTCAAGAATTTAGAACTCTCAATCTTGACGTGATACTACGATGGGAAACTTTTCTTTTCCTCTCTACATTAAGATGTTTTTTTCTAAAGCCCATAGAACCATACAAATTTTTGCGTTTCCAATTCAAAAGCAATTTTTTCAGCCACGATTACTCAATTATTTCCTTGACAGACCATGTTTCGGTGGAATTGAATTGGACGAGCTGGATCGCGAGAGAAAGTAGCATCATAAAATGTTTAAAGTGTGAGCCCAGGATTCAACTTTGAAACATAAGATTTCTTAATTCGTAATTGCGTAAGCCTATGAGTATCATGTACCTTGATAAAGTATTTCAAGAGAGACATCTGACTGTTTTTCTTGATCTGATGGAGTGACACGGCATTCACTACAGGTTCAATGAGCCCACTGTCACTTGAGGTCACCATAACAGCGAACCTAATATTGAAAAGCAGGTAGTTGTTTTTATTTAAGGTATCACGCTATCCTTGGATAGATAATGTAACGTAAATGTTGCGTGACGTGACAAGGGCACAGCATCTAGTCAATTGGGTAGAAGAGTCATCATATGCAGACTAGCTAGGAGAAACAACATTCAGAGCTCAGAGGTAACGACGTTAACATGTAAGAAACTAGGGCTGTTTTCATGAATGTTGTGATGTTCTACTTACGGTCGAAGGCGAAGGGGGACTCTTTCCTGTTTCCAAATGGCCTGCAGTTGGGAGCAAAAATTGCACTCTTATTGTGGGAAGTGAACACTTAATTTTGCAACTAAATTCCAACACTGTGCAAGTGTTTAATATTACACCCCAATTGCTCTATTGCGCGTAGAGTTTACAACATTCTCAACAATTCTAACTCAGATATTTTTCTAAGCTAGGCTGATTAAATGATAAGATAATTGGGTTCTATCGACTGTGTTGATAATGTAAATTGGACAACGTAAAGAGTTTAAAAGCTGACGCTTTGGGTGTTAGCCCTGCGTCAGAGCGAATGATTCAATGATATTTTTCACCCCTTGATAAATTAATACCGACGACCGTCAGTATACCAGGAGATGCAAAAAGCGAACACCTTCCATTGCGCTACTTAAACACCCGCTTTGGAAACTCTACTCTTCAGGTCCTCGGCAACTCGATAAGGAACCTTCTCAGGGATTCTAAAACATTCGTAACTCTTACTCTTTACACCTTAACATCGGTATGCATATTCTCCTATTGTTCTCTAAACATTCGTAACTCTTACTCTTTACACCCTTACATCGTTATGCATATTCTCCTATTGTTCTCCAAACATTCGTAACTCTTACTCTTTACACCCTAACATCGTTATGCATATTCTCCTATTGTTCTCAAAA